GCTTATAGAAAGTAGCAGGGGGATAACAGGGTGTTGAAACAACGAAAAAGCAACATAAATATAGAGAGTAATGCATGAAGAAACATGGCCTGATAGTCCACCATTTTCCTACAGAGACCCAGCTTTTCTTAAGCTACTAGTTACTAGCCTAGCAATCTACCTAGCCCTAAACACTTCGTCCCTTAGTCTGACCAAGGATCGTATCCGGGAGGGTAGCCTAAGTCTTCCGCAATATCTGACCAGCATAACATCTCGTCATCGTCTGAGCTAACTATAATGTGCCCAGCTGAACTGCCGGTTTCTCGAGTACCCTTTACTTTCCTCGTTCGCTTAGCTTTCCTACTTGCCTTCCTTTCATTTTGCTCTTTGCGTTTTTCATTTCCCCAATCACGAAGTTTTTGTGCCTCCCTAGTGCACCAAAGTACTACTTCTCTTGCAGCGAGCGTATCCTCCAGGCAATCGTGTACTTCTCCAATATTCTTTCGAATTTCAACTCCGAGTAGCTGTGAGCACAAAGCCGCAAGACCCCATTGACGGCCTTTTCTCCCTACGGCGTTCTTTGATAGTATTGCTGAATCCACAATGCGGTGATGAACCATTCTGAGGGCCTTCAAATCATGCTGCAATGCTTGGCCAATGAGGATTGTGTTCTCGTCAATATGTCTCCATAACTCTTGTCGCGCGCCCTTCCAGCCATGCAGAGCCTCGTTACGTTCCGTAGCGGCGGTCACTTTGTATTCGGTCACCCCGTGGATGCAAGTGCGCCAATCGATCAAATCCTTTGTGGGAGAAACGTATCGGTGGATCAGGCTCTCTCCAGTAAGGTAGTCAACAGCGCAAAGAAGTATCACTTCTGACGTTGCGTCTCTAGCTTCCCCCATCTCGCAATCCAACGCCACAGCCCGACGTTTAGGTGCTCCATAAAGTGAAGGGGTCAGTTCGAAATCGCCACGTCTTGCAAGCAAGCGCTGCGTCGGCTGGCCGTAATCGTGGTTGGGTGATGATTTACAGCCTGCTCCGCTTAGGTCGCAACAGTCGTAGCGCTGTTGTTGGTTTTTCATTTCCTGGAAGTGAAAAAGTCAGTACAGAACTACAATACATACTAATTATTTTACGACTACCTTTTTTCTACCGGGATGGAAGCAGCATCCTGTTATGGTCTGAAGTCGTGTGGCCTGTTCTAGCTCTAGAACTCTTAGGAGGATTCGGCAACGAGTTCAGATGGAGTAAAGCGTACCGTGGCATTTAGTGCACTTACGTGATCCAGAAGTAGATGTGGGGCTATGCGCCTGAACCGTAAAGCCGCTCCTACGTAGATCTTTTAACGAATGGCAATGCTTATGTAACTCTTCGTATCTTGTCTCTTGTTCGGAGATCGGGACTATAGACCAACGATTGTCATGCTGTCCAGGCCAAGTTCCATTCAGAGTACGTTGGTCCAGGGGCCTTGATAGCTCTACTTCTCGCGGCAATGAGGATATAGCTTGAGGTGCATTTGAAGCGCTTTCTGTGGAGTACCCGCTGCCTCCAGCTCGTCGAGTAAGCTTCGATGCCTTTCCATTTTGGTAGGTTTTGTGGGAAGCGGAGTATATCAAATGCTGTTCGAGGGCTTTCTCATGAGGAAATGGTCGAGCGCACATAGTGCAGTAAGCTGCCATCTTGGTTTTGGATTGTGCTTTGGCTAAGTCGATCAGCTGTAGCTGGATATTTATATTGCCTGTATAGAGGTGTTACAATTACGTCCATAATTTTGATGAGCGGAATGCTCTAAGGGATAACAGAAATTATGATTGCTCATTCTTTCGCGAAAGAACGTGGTAGTGGCCGAGTCAACCTAGCTATAGCTAATGGCTTACAACCGAATCAAAATTCAATGCAGACCGCGATAGAGATCTAATACTAGCGGATATACATACTTCTTCAGCGATTGAATTAATTCTCAGTATAGGTAGGCTAACGACTATGACAAAAAAGCTTAGCAGGTATCTACCCACCAACCGGCTATCAAATTGAATTAAAGCAAGGGACATATTATATGAAGAATGTGCATGAAACAGGAAGAAGTCCTGTTATGGGTATAGAACCCTAAGTATGAACTCAAACCAGCACTATGAAATGTGGCTCCTAATGGCAAGAAGCTTGCTAACGCTGCTAGATAGGTGATTTATTGACTATAATACGGCTAATTCCGATAACATAAGTGTTGGAATATATAGGTCACTCAAACTTGCGCATTAAATGCGCGGGCCCGCCTTTCGGTTCAACAGTTCTTCGAGCCGTTCATAGCAGTAACAGAGGATAGGAATTCATTTAGTACTAGCTTTTGGTCGACCAACGAGACGGCCCCATCCTAACATCTATGTTTTTTTCTGGAACGTCTCACTCAGATCCTCGGGCTCACTTCACGGTGAGGCTCGTTTCCTGGTAGGAGATGTGTTGGACTATCAGGCTATCTACCGATTATCAGCTTACATTTCTTCATGCATCATTCTCTATATTCACTTTGCTTTTTCGTTGTTTCAACACCCTGCTATCTTCTATCAGCGATCACATGACTGCTTTACTCCTTCATGTATATAAAGCTCGCTGCCAGACACAATTCGAAAATCAAGCCGCGTTCTCTCTTCACTTGCATAGTTTCACACCCACAATCCAATACAACCTCATGGAAAAGCAGCTTTATGATTTGCGTTCTTTTATTCCGCGACACTGCAATAAGGAAAACACTTTCCTTGCGTAAGCTTTAAGCACCACGCGCCTTCCAAGAAATAAACTTAAATGCGATCCGAACAATCACTTAGCTTTAGCGATAGCACCATAGTCGATAGGACATTGTTTCTGTAAACATCTATAGATAGAGCTACCAATACTTTTTTAGCATAGATTTTAAAAGACTACAAGAACCGGAGCGGCACTTGTAAGTCGGATATAGTTTTTTGTTGCAAGTTTTAACCACTACTTGAAAAAACTATGAAGATGTCAGCCAGGATCACTCCGATAACTCTCGTTTTTTCAGCCTTATTACAGTCAGTTGTTACACTACAGCC